ATCATTAGGGCAGAGAACCGGTTGTTAAATTATTTGAATCCCACCTCTGCACCTAGGCCTGGGAAGAGAGGAGCTGGCTTTAACTGTGATGTCACAATTATAATCTCTGCTTATGAAATTCCATATATTTTTAAAAATCAAATCATTATCAGGTGATAGTGATGCTCCTTCCAAGGATGCAAAACATTTAACAAGCTGATTATCCAAGATTCCCTCTGACAATAGGTTTTCCATGATCACAAATTCCCCAAGGAAGAGAAAAAGGCCTACCTAGAAATACTGAGGCCCTAGCTAACAAGGAAATATTTTTTTCAGTACTAAATTCCCCTGCAAGATTTAACTCGAATTTTATTTTGTCTCTTCATTTAATACTCCCTTACAGAAGACCTCTTTCCTAATTCAGAATGTGAGAATATTCTGCATTCCTCCATATGAATTTGTTTCTTAATGAAAGTGAGTGTCCTTCTGCCCATAGGCCATTACCGTTACCACTCTTTTCCCCTTTTCTTTTGATTTATGGACATTTCAGCTCTTTTCTGCTCACCTCAGAGCACGTACTCCAATCTTGCCCCATTTTATTTGTCCTTTACCAATGGCCTTTAGGAGACTAAAATATGTCTGCCACAAAATGCTTCCCCAACTTTTCCTTCCTATCGGCGGAGCCAGAAAGTGAGTGTGATTAATAATTGCTCAGTAACACTAAGACACACTAAGAACTGATCAACAAGCTGAGATTGTAGCAGGTGTCATAAGCACTCAGCCATTACGTACAGCCAAGAGAAAAATGTAGTATCATATGGTAGCCTACCTGAGCCAGAAGATGCATTTACAATGAACTCTGAACATTATGAATTATCCCACTGATCAGAAGAGCCATTTAGGAATGGGAAGTTTAAGTTCCCCATCCTGATTTCAAAAATAATAGGTGGTTATTTTTCAAAAGCACATGGATTTCAAAGAAGCCATATAATTTGAGTACCAAAGATAAGCAACCATCTGCTCTCTACTATTTGCCTGAAATTGAACAAGTATTAGTTGATTCAAGGAGTGATAGTTTAGTGGGAAGTTAATATATATAACCATTGTTGGTTATTTTGAATGAACTAGAATTTTCTCCAATTAAAATTACTGGGGAAGGAGCGATTTTGCCCTTCAGCAGGTCATAAATGTAAAAAGGAAAGTTTATCATGCATTTCTTGATTTAGAAAAGCATATGGTGACGTAAATAGTCGTGAATTATGGGACATGTACACAATTATGGAGTTGTGGCTGAATGTTGTATTTTGGAACTAAACCAAATCATGAGAATAAATGGGTCAACACTGAGCAGGAGTAAAAGAAGAATAGCAATAGCTCTTACAATTATATACTGCTTCACAGTGCTTTACAGCCGTCTCTAAGTGGTTTACAGAGTCAGCATATTGCCCCCAACAATCTGGGTCCTCATTTTACTCACCTTGGAAAGATGGAAGGCTGAATCAAGCTTGAGCCAGTGAGAATCGAACTACCAAACTGCTGGCAGTCTGCAGTCAGCAGAATTAGCCCACAATACTGCATTCTAACCACTGCGCCATCACAGCTCTTAATATATTATGTATGATGTTTAAAGAATGTATGATGTTCAAAGTATTTGTGCATAAATGTATAACTAATGTGATAGTTGTGTTAGAAGGATGTTGGCCAGGGTGTGAAGGTATGTGTACTTTTGTATTTAGACAATGTTGTACTGTAGCATAATGTAACAATATTGTAACAGTAACAAATACATCTGTTTTACAATGAATAGTTATATATTATACATAAATCAGTGGTGGGTTGCTCCCGTTCTGTCCGGTTCTTGCGAACCGGTAGTAAAAGTGTCGGGAGGCTCCGCCCACCTGCCCAGACGTCATAATTGACGATCTGCGCATGCAGTGAGGGGATCCACATTCTAGGCCTCCCTTAGGCACAGAAGCCTGCTGCATGTCTTTGGGTTAAAATCGGCATCTGTCTCTATGACAAACTGAAGGAAAAAAACCCATCAAAATTCTTTGTTGCATTATGCAGCGTGCACTCCAGTGATGGTTCGGACCAGTTCACAAGAACAGGGAGTAAAACTGGCAGGAGGCTCCGCCCACTGACCTGGACATCATCACCTAGGTGATTTGCGCATGCGCGGGCATGAGTGCGATGCGAACCGGTGGTAAAGGTAAATAGAACCCACCCCTGACATAAATGTGAAAAAAGCTAGCACAAGTAGATGATGTTCTACATCCTTTTCTGTACTTTGTATATTGGTGTTTATGTCTATATAGAATAATACATGGGTGTCAAACTCGTGGCATCACATTGCCATCAAGTGACGTTTCACGATGTTTTTCCCATTAGCGGAGCTGGGGTGAGGGTGGTCTGTGCATGATGCATCTAGTCCACAGGCTGCCAGTTTGACACCACTGGAATAATACGATTGTCAAACATAATGTAAAAGAAAACCAAATGCTTAGCTGAAAAACCTGCAGTTTCTATGATTTCAGAGTATTATATAAAGCACATACCAGTGTTAATCAGATTTGACTTAACGCTGAGCTCCATTCATCCATATTTTTCTATCCCCACTGAGTATTGTTTCTTTTCTGCATTCATGCACATGCTGTGCTTCTTTACATCTGTCTTGCTTTCTTGCAGGTCTTCTTGTTTTCCACAACACTTAGCTAGTTCTTGATCAAAGTTTATCACTGCATAATGCAACAAAGAATTTTGATGGGGTTTTTTTTTCTCTCCAGTTTGTCATAGAGACAAATGCCGATTTGGATTCAGAGGGAGTGATTAACCCAAAGACATGCAGCTGCCTTCTGTGCCTAAGGGGGCCTAGAATGTGGATCCCTTCACTTCTAATCCTGCACCCTAACCGCTGCCCCATGTTAGTTCTTCCTGTGTGCCCTTATATAGTACACAGGAGTCACGTTTAGCATTCAAAAATGACAAAATGTAACGGGGAAGGCTTCAGGCGAGGTTCTTTTTTTAATCTCCTTGTCTAGCGGCTTCATCTGGAGTGACTGGTGCTCGGAGAAAGCACAAGCTTCGCAAACAGAAGGGTAAAGTGCAGTCCCTGCCATCTGCAGATAAACTAAAAAAGACAACCTGCCTCAATTACTGCAGGTCAGTATAGTCAATGCAGGGCTAGATGGACAAGGCAAGTTCCTTGTTCTGACCAAAAAACCAAAATTCTTAAATTTGAATGTTGCAGGTATATGAATGTCACAAATCCTTTGGAAATGAGAGTGTATAAAATCATTCCTCATAAATCTCTCATTGTATCTTCTATTTTGATTGTTTACCATTGTAAAGCCATTGAGTTTGCTCTTCCTGTAGAAAGTTTGTCCAGATGTATCATTCCTAGCAGTGGTAAGTTTCAAAAATTTTTGCTACTGGTTATGTGGCTTGGTGGGCATGGCTTGGTGGGCATGGCTTGGTGGGTGAGGCAGGGGAAGGATACTGTAAAATCTCCATTCCCACCCCACTCAAGGGAAAGGATACTATAAAATCTCCATTCCCACCCCACTCCAGGGGAAAGTTACTCCAAAATCCCCATTTCCTCCCGATCAGCTAGGACTCCGGAGGCAGAGAATAAATGGGGGCAGGGCCAGTCAGAGGTGGTATTTACCAGTTCTCCGAACTACTCAAAATTTCTACTACCGGTTCTCCAGAATTGGTCAGAACCTGCTGAAACCCACTTCTGATTCCTAGTGAATCAAAAGACCAAGCACAGCAGAGATCTGTGTTGCTGGTGTACATTTTTACTGTAGCTTTAAAAACTAAGGTACACATCTTAGCCTATCACTTCCATGCTTTAATTATGATTTCAGAGTAGTTACAATTAGTCCTTGATTTACAACAATTCATTTAGTGACTGTTCGAAGTTACAATGGCACTGACAAAAGTGACTTATGACCATTTTTCACACTTACGAACATTGCTGCATTACCTATGGTCATGTGATCAAAATTCAGACACTTGACAATCGACTCATATTTATGACAGTTACACTTTTCTGGAGTCATGCCTTCAACTTTTGTGACCTTCTGACAAGCAAAGTCTGTATTGTAGACTGTGTTGTTTCTCTGTGTCATAAAGTATACGTGGGTATGTGCATAATTATTTATTTATTTATATTTTTGTCATGTTTATGTAGTGTATATTGGAGGTGTATGCAACAAAATTTCATTTTAATATATGCTGATTAGTGTACATTTAAAGTGACAATGAAGTTATTGTAAGTCTAAGTCTAAAGTCAGTGAGGAAGCCAGATTTGTTTAACAACCGTGTAACTAACATAACAATTGCAGTAACTCATTTAACAACTAGGGCAAGAAAATGTGTAAAGTGAGCAAAACTCACTTAAGATATGTTTCACTTAGCAACAGAAATTTTGGGCTCAATTGTGATCATAAGTTGAGGACTACCTGTAGTGTTTTGTTACTATTTGTGTGGGTGTTGTTATTGCTCTTATCATATACATAACACTATTAGAAATTGCTACTCTTTAGTTTGGTTTGCCTTTCCCTAAATTTAGTATAGATTTGGGGGAGGGGTTGGTTTCTGGTGAGGTTTTGCAAAATGTAATATATTTATTGTTTTGCAGACTGCCATTTGTGACATTCTGCAACAGTAAGGATAGAAGGATACCAACAGCAAATGTGTTAGTGGGAGTTATTGTTCCTTCTCTTGGGCAGGGGAATAAACTAAGTCATCTATGCTTCCTTTCAGTTCTGTGAAAGGCAGATAACCATCCTTTTCTAAAACATTTTGTGATAAATATCAATCTTTTCAGCCTACTTAAGGAAACCACTTTTTTCCTTTTCTTCTATGGAAGGTCTACTCCCAATTTCCCTTAATTTCATCCTCATTACTTTCCAATCTGTTACCCAGAACAATTTCATTCTGTGGCAAATTTGTCATTAAATTAAAGGCTGAAGTGAGTGTTTAGAGTTAATTAAATAAATCCATAACAGACAACTTACCATGACGAAAATATTCCTCTCTTCTTTAGCTCCATCTTCTCACTTCAAGTAGGAATAATTTACTAAGACAGTTCATAAGTCACAAAATTCAGTTCATTTACTGTCAGAGGATGGATCAAATCAGCTGCCATTCAATGGAAAATCAACATCAAAAATAGAAGCAACATTTAAATCCGAAGATCTTTTTAATAGAATATTACAATAGAAAGAGACTCAGAAAAGCTAACTCTTAAATATTTTGGACACAAAATGCAAAGGCAAAAATCACTGGGGAAGATGATGATGCTTGGGGAAAAAAATAACGAAGGCTATAAAAAAAAAAGAGGCTGGCAGAAACAACGTGGCTAGATACTATCACTGGGGACACAAAAATGAGGCCACAAGAACTCAAAGAAGCCATTATGGATAGACAATCCTGGTGAAATGACCTCCATTGGGTCCCCAAAACTCAGAAGTATTTGAGTGACTAAACAATAATAAGAGCAAGGTGCTTTCCTTGCTGAAAACATGATGAAATCCAAGCAACTTGGATGTTGAGCAGGTGTTGAGCAATCTCTATTTTGGGGGCTAATTAAGACTAACCAGAACATGTTTTCTCAGGATGGGGAGGGCACACTCACTTGCCAAAAATGGGGTTAAGGTTATGGTTTTGATTTATTAACGCTAATATAATTACCGTGCATGTAATAGCTTTCCCCTTCCGTTATATTAAAATGACAGTTAAGCACATGATTTGGAGGCTAAGACTCTGGAACCTGGCAGTCCCATGTGACTCAGGACTGAAGGGAAATAGCAAGTGAAGTAAATTTGTAGCTTAGGTGGACCAGCAAGTAGCTATTTGTCATTTGGTAATAAAATTCTGAAGATGAAGATTGGGATTCACAAGTCTACCTAAGCGGTACCCCAGCTTTAAATAAATCCTCCTTTGACATGGATTGAATTAAAGGTCAAATAGGAATTAAGGTCTCAAACACAGAGCTCCTTCCCCATCTCTGCTATAATTCAAACATTGCTTTTGGTCTAGCCTCCCTTACAGATTTTTCCTGCTGACCACGTGGATGGTTTCGTATCATTTTCTTGACAGTGCTATGGTTATGCCCTTTCTTTCTTCTTCTGGAATGTTTTTGAACTGCACAGTATAGCCTACAACTGTGAGATTTTCTGAGAGTCCTCCATCTAAATACTAACCAGATGCAACTCAGTGTGGTTTTTCTGAAATCACACAAGGCTGGCTCAGAGCTGCTACCTAGCTAGGCAAAATGACTCAATAAGTTCCTTGAAATAAAGGCAAAGATAATAAAATGATTTTTTTTTTATGACATGTGTACGGTTGTTCTTATATCTCACAGTTCTTTAACACTGAGAGGGATTTCTGTAAGAGTTGGTGGGGAAAGAAAAAGAGGTCTAGATAGTGGCTATGACTGTGTGATCAAACTCCCACCATTTTGTAAGCATGTGCACGGAGTATAGTACTATGAGAAATATAAGAGCTGAGAGGGAATATTTTCATGCTGTTAAACCACCGTTGCTTCACTGTAAATCAGAAGACATTCTGGGTATTGTTTTCTGTTATATTCTCTTCAAACGCTGGCACTTCAAACCCTGGCATGTAAACAAAAAACTAACTAGCAGTTTGGCATTTCTTGCCAGGCCAAACGAAGGAAAGGAAAGGAAAGGAAAGGAAAGGAAAGGAAAGGAGGGGAGGGGAGGGGAGGGGAGGGGAGAGGAGAGGAGAGGAGAGGAGAGGAGAGGAGAGGAGAGGAGAGGAAAGGAAAGGAAAGGAAAGGAAAGGAAAGGAAAGGAAAGGAAAGGAAAGGAAAGGAAAGGAAAGGAAAGGAAAGGAAAGGAAAGGAAAGGAAAGGAAAGGAAGATAGCAGCAGCTACAAAAGATCTTGAATCATTTCCCAACAAACCCTGCCAACCTAATCTCCTGTTATCTGACTGATATCCATCATTACAGTTTAGGAATATAATTTCTTCTCCTTTTCCTTCTAGTATAATTGCTTCCCTTCCTGTTTCACAGAGGGGGTCTTTCAGGTGATCCTCTCCATATTAAGCTTTCTGGATCCTATTTAAAATACAGCTGAGGGTGACATAAACCATTTGGATTATTTTCCAGAAACCAGGCTACCAGAAACATAGGCTTCTTGTTATGAGTCTAGAACTCACAGAACACCATCAACCCTTTTGGGTGCAAAATTCTGTCAGTGAATTAGGGGCCACTCCCTTGGCCCCATACCTAAATGTCTTTTCCATTTCTTTTCAACATAAAAGAGATCAAATGACTAATCATTCTTCAACCTCACTTTCATCAATTTCTAATATTGGCATACAGCCAATATCTTAGTTTGAGCTTTGTTATTAACTAGGAATCCTGGTGGCACAATGCAGTGTTACAGGCTAACACTGCCCACAGTCTGGAGTTCAATCCTGGAAGATTGAGTCAACCTTGAGCCCATCAGGATTGAACTTGCTCTATTGTGAGACCTTGGCATTAACGAGGTGAGAGAAGTTCAACAAACATCATTTATTCACACCGTTAACTATAACCAGAACCAAGACCCCCAAACTCCGTCAAGAGAATGACAGCTCTTTTATACCCCGAGCTGTCAACTGAACTACCAATCACGAGTCGCAGAAACTCCCATGTCTTTCAGCCACTCCCCCTGACCAATCCCTAGCTGCCGGGCCGCCGGCCATACACAACAGAACTCAATCTCTCATCCTTCTTAGATTGGTAAAATGAGGGCCCAGATTATTGGGTGCAATATGTTGACATTGTAAACTGCCCAGAGGGTCCTGTAAAGCACTATGCAGAAAATATAAATCTAAGTGCTATTGCTATTGCTAACTGTACCAGCTCCTTGACATCCCTCTAGAAAATGGGGACACCCATTCAAGTACTTACAAACGGCTCAGGATATCATGACACAAGATCAGTGGATCATCATATTCACTATGGAATTGCACTGGGTATTGGAAATCTTCCAAGAGATGGAAACAGTGGTGGGTTCCTCCTGGTTCAGCCCGGTTCCGCCGTCACTGAACCGGTTCTGCCCCCCCCACCCCCCCGCACCTCCCACCCACCCCCCGCATTATTCTTACTTTTTATTTGGCCCCACCCCCAATCTATTGCTGTCTCCTGAGTCCCAGCTGATGGCTAGAGGGGAAAAAAACTGTTTAAACTCTTGCTGCGGGGCTTCAAAGGCCGCCCTACCGCTGATCAGTGTTAAAAGAAAACAAATAAGTAGACTGATGCCTGCAAAAATAAATGGGTAGACCAGTGCCTGCAAAAATACATGAGTAGACCGGTGCCTGCAAAAATAAATGGGTAGACCAGTGCCTGCAAAAATACATGAGTAGATCAGTGCCTGCAAAAACAAATGGGTAGACCAGTGCCTGCAAAAATAAATGGGTAGATCAGTACAGCTCTGAAAGCAGTTAAAACCCTGGTAGACTAGTACCTCTGCTAAATCCTAAATAATTGTCACATGACCATCAAGCCATGCCCACAAAATAAGCCAAGCCCACAGAACTGGTAGCAAAAAATTTTAGAACCCACCCCTGGATGGAAACATTTGAATTGCACTTTTGGCAATAGCAAATAAGCTCTCAATAAACTCTTCAATGCCACAGGGTTGACTAGAAAGAAGAAGAAAAAGCTGCAAATCCTTCCAATAGATAGCTTTTGTCTTACAGATCCATTTTATCAGAAGATGGCATCTACTAATAAAGTGTACACTGTCAAAAGGCTTGTATCTCTGGCCAACAAGCATGTCTGCAGCTTATATTACTCAAGTTTTATCTTCTTTCTCTCTTTTGTTCTGCTGAAGAGAGGTTCTTCTACTCAAAATATCAATATTAAGCTTCGGCTAAAGTATTAGATGAATGAAAGATAACCTAGTTGGCCTTCTATAATCATGATGTTGCCCATGAAAAAAAGATCTGCTTTACCAACATGTGTTCCTACCATTTTCATTTCCACATCAGAATTCAGATACTGGCAAAATATCAATCTCAATGGTTAGTGTTTGACTCTGAAAGGAACTCCCAAGGAATTCCCTTCCACTTTTGGAGTAGGACTTTACATAGAAAACCACAGCCAAACTAAGTCATTTCCCCCAACATGTTCTTTTGATTTGAAGATTGTTTTATAACGTTTTTTCCTTCCATAACAGAATAACAGAGTTGGAAGCAGTGGTGGGTTTCAACCGGTGTTACCACGGATTCCCATCATGCATGCGCTTCGCGCAAGCACAGTGTATTGCAGAACAGCTGAGATGCGGCAATCCACTCTGCCGCACCTTTCAGCTGGGCTAAAAACGACCAAATATAAGGTATGTATTTATTTATTTTATTTATTAAATTTTTTATACCGCCCTTCTCCCGAAGGACTCAGGGCGGTGAACAGCCAAGGTTCAAATACATACAGTATGAAAATTAAAATAATTTAAAAAATAATTAAATCCAATTTGGCTTCCCAATTTTAAAACCCCTTACCCATAAAATTAATCAATTAAAATCTTAAGCCAGCCTGGCTCGCTGAAACAAGAAAGTCTTCAGAGCCCAGCGGAAAGTACGGAGGTCCGGGATCAGTCGTATCCCTGGGGGTAGCTCGTTCCAGAGGGCGGGTGCCCCCACAGAGAAGGCTCTCCCCCCTGGGGGTTGCCAGTCGACATTGCTTGACCAACGGCACCCTGAGGAGACCCTCTCTGTGGGAGCGTATTGGCCGGTGGGAGGTTATCAGTGGCAGAAGGTGGTCTCATAGATATCCAGGCCCTAAGCCATGGAGCGTTTTAAAGGTGAGAACCAAAACCTTGAAGTGCACCTGGAAGACTACAGGAAGCCAGTGCAGCTCACGCAGGAGAGGTGTTACATGGGAGCGCCATGTCGCCCCCATAATCACCCGCACGGCTGCATTCTGAACCAGTTGGAGCCTCCAGGTGCTCCTCAAGGGGAGCCCTATGTAGAGAGCATTACAGTAGTCCAGGCGGGAAGTAATGAGGCATGAGTGACTGTGCATAAGGAGTCCTGATCCAGAAAGAGGCACAACTGGCATATCAGGTGACCTGATAAAAGCCCCCCTGGCCACGGCCGTAATATGCTCTTCTAAAGACAGCCGTGCATCCAGGAGGACGCCCAAGTTACGGGCCCTCTCTGTGAGGGCCAATGACTCA